AGGCAGAGGATTTATGAAGGGGGGAGCAACACAGACATCCTGCAGATCAGAGACCTCTCCAAGGTACCAATTTATAAAACTTAACTTCAGACTGTCATTAACATTTTGTCGAATCATCCTGTTATCCCAAAAGTTTTAAATTAATGTGGTAGTTTAAAGAAGTAACTGTGTTTACTCCACTAAAATGTAATGGGACAGATGCTGGATGCTTAAATACAAAATATGAAAAATAAATAAGCTATAATGTGGAAAGCACATTGGAATAAAAAGTCATTTTTTCATATTCTCAGCAGAAATGCAACCAGCTGCTAGTAGTTATCAAGTAAATAACTGAATATAAATCGAATATTTAAAATACAGAATAATATATATGTTGAAAAAATAAATGACAAATGCCATTTTAACAAGTCTGAGAACGAAAAAGAAAATAAAAGTACATTTGAGGATGAAAGGTTTGATGATTCAGTGTTACATTTTTCAAAATAAAAGTTTAGAAATATGAAGAGTGCTTTAATTAAGTACAAGCGAGACCAGACTTAACTTCTTTAACTCTTTCTCATTACACAATTTAATCTTTTTATTGTTGAAACTGCAAAGAAAAACTGCTGTCTGAATCCATCAGGAGCAAAAAAGTTTGTGTTTTTTTACTGGTTTACACAATTAGAACCTCTTTATTGATAGACAGACAATGGTTAAATCACTTTTTGTAAATATTAAAATATTTTTTGTTGATGACTGAATGAAGGCTGTACATTTTAAGATTGAACTCATAACTCATCCCAGTAAAAATCTCGACATAATCTTGACTAGGAAAATAAAACCTACATATTTTAATAGATGCTGTGATAAAAGGATGTGACTTCATTTGTCTTAATGTCTGTAGTTGTTGTTGTAAGAAGTGCCTCATGCATGCAGAGTGTAATCACTGTTTGCTTTCTCTGCACAGACCTATGTGGGCAGGAAGAGGGCAGCTGTGGACCGGATTTGTGTTGGTGTTCCTGCAGGAGAGGTAGAGTCATTGAGTTTGTTTATACTGAGAGCTACTACGTCTGGTTTTATATGTATAATTAAAGCTTTCCTCTTTTATTCACTCAAATAAACATAGATTTGTTTTTCTTTCTCTGCGCTCTCTGCTAGAAATAAGTAGGACATGTTGTTTACCATCAGCAGCCGAGAACATGAAGTATGTTTACTGCGTATACGTTCCCATGACATTGAGTATAGATACGAGGACATTTCCTGTACATTCATGGAGTGAAATAGAAAATTATAGTTTCTAAAGGTTATCAGAGTCGTTCAGAGTGTTATTGCCAAGCATGCCCTCATATCCACCGTCTGATTGTCTTTTATCCTGATAGTGCTTCGGTCTCCTGGGAGTTAATGGAGCTGGAAAGACAACAACCTTCAAAATGCTGACTGGTGACACCGATGTCACCTCGGGGGAGGCGACTGTGGCTGGCTACAGGTACATAAAGATCAGTGGAAACTGTCCCCGCTCCATTGAACACAGACCCCGCTCAGGACCTGATCAGATGGTATTTGTGAAGTCAAAACTTTGCTCTCAGTTTATCCTGCGTGCAGTTCCAGATGGGAGATGACCAGAAACAGCCCAGTGAGTCAGAAAGTTTAATCACAGGAAGGTCAATCTGTCATTAATCTGTTTGATGTCACTGGCAATAAAATCTCCCCATGTGGCACTCGATAGAAAAAGGAGTGAGGGCTTGCTGGTTATTTTGTATATTTTTGTTTATTTGCTGCATCAAACAGGACCTGCAGTGTCATGTATTATATATATTATATATTTTTATACTGTTACAAAGATGAGAGAGTAAGTAGTAGGGCTGGGATGATATGCTTTTCTCCTGATTCCATTCTTCTACGATTTTTTGTATGCCAATTTGATTTAAATTGCGATTCTACAATATTGTCGATTTTCTCAGTATTCAGTCTGCATTTTTAACACCAGTGAAGCAGTTGAATGATTTTGATTGTTTACTGACTATTCCAGGAACCATATTTCCCCAAAATAATACACATCACATGTAAGTCAGTTTTTAAGATTTAAGGTCCTTACACACCGGGAACGACGCAAATATACAACGCAAATAAATATATACATATACACATCAAGCGCGATGCCATTTTTTGACTTTTTTGGGCTAAAAAAAAGACGCATCCCGGGTGGAAGCGAGAAGACTGACACAACACCAGACTGACTGTTTTCAGTTCTGATTAGACACTAGTGTTGAGATGGCTGTCTGTCATGATAGCGTGTACTGAGTCTGGGCCAGTACCAGATAAACACATTAAACTATAATCCATAAACATAAAGTAACAATGTGAATGATGTGAATGCTTGTATTGACAGGATATGGGTTCAAAATAAAATATTGACGTCTGAAATAATCGTACAAAAAAAACACTCCTGGTGTGAAAGGACCTTTAGTCTTAAATTAAAAAACTACAACAACAACAACAAAAAGATTTTTGAACATAAGAATCATTTTAAAAATTGTAAAACAAAAAATCACGATACTTATGTGAATCAATTTTTTCTCCCACCCCTGGTAAATAATAATGCAACAGTAATACAATATAATAGGTTTAATCTCCTTCAAAATAAGCATACTATTATGAAATAGAAGTTGCACAGTTGTATGAGAGGCTGTCTGTCTTTAGAGGAGACTGTTAATACTTGGAGACTTACATCATGCTCAGCAATGTGCAGTTTTTATGCAGATGTGTAGCTCTTCCTGGTATGTTTTTTTATTCCCACTGTGTTGCACAGATAGGTCAGACTGGTCCACCTTGCCAAGTCTCAAGTGCACCTTTCAAACTGAAGCAGTCTTTTGCTTCCTCAATGTATGTTTCTTATTGGAACATACATGAATAAGCGAACATGGAAAAAAAAAAGTGATATAATGACTATTTTAAAAAGTAAAACATAGAAAATTAGCAAGCTGAATGTGGCTAAAAAGGTTGGTTCCTGTTTCCATCTAACTCTCACTTTTTTCTGCTTTGTGAACTAATATTTAGCTCGGACCAGAAGGGGTTGGGCTTTGTTTGAATTACCAGGATCTGTATTTGTAACAGGTCCAGTATTTATGTATATGCGTCGAGTTTCCCATTTATTTTGAATATTAGTTATTATAACAGAGCATGTGCTCATATGTTGAGTTAGGAGGCAGTTTCTGATAAGACTGTGAACTCTCGGTGTGGTTGTTCTGCCTTATCCGGCGCTCTAATATGCTGCCGCAGTCATATTGATGTTAAAAACTAATTTCCATGTTATTTTTAACATTTTGAGAGAGGGGAAATACGCCCAATTATCCTTCCACATATCTTGCTTGGATGAATAAGCCCCTCAGTCTGCATATGCACTATTGTCGGATACTCTATTAAAACCCAGATGAATAAATGTCTGGGTGAAAAGCCGTTCAAAGCAACCACCTACCACATTTGTCCTCAATCTTATTTTTGGTGTAAGCCCTTGTGAAATAATGCGATCTGTACTTAATCACTCTTTGCAGTTAATAGCTTCAACATGGATGTGATTTATATGCAATTCAAGCAGAGATTTCATTTTCCTACCTCTTGAGTTCTTTAAACTTTGTGTTTTTGGCACATAGACGAGAGAGTATCAAGTTTTTTACAAAAAGGTAGTAATGGAAAATATGTAAGTGGTATGCAGTATCCCGAGATGCTATAAAATTGTCCTCTAAGGGGGACACGGATAATTCTACCTATTAAATAGACTAAACGCCTTTAAATCTAAACCTTTCAGAGGAATGAGCCTGCTTCCTGCTCTGTGTGACACATTTTAAATAACGACTATATCAGTCTAACCCCCGCTGAGAGAAGCTGTTTGTTTTGTTCCCGTCCTGTTATTTGCTCTACTGGCTCACATCGATGATTGGCACTTCTTTGTTTTTTTGTCCTGCAGCATCCTTACAGAGATTCTGGACGTGCACCAGAACATGGGATACTGCCCTCAGTTTGACGCCATTGATGAGCTCCTCACCGGCAGGGAGCATCTGTACTTGTACGCTCGTCTCAGAGGGGTACCTGAGTCTGAAATCCCCAGAGTGAGTGGAGCTCCTGCTGCTTTACATCTTTACCTGCCTAAAGGGGGTTTTATCCTGAAAGGGAATCTACTTTCAAGCTCAGCGCTGCACACAGACTTTTATGTCTGCTTGTTAATTTTGCTTTTGTTTTGATCATTGTCTCTTTCCTGCTGTTCAGTGTTTGCTCATCTTTGTTTTATGCTTTTCAATTTTGCTCTAACGTTTTCACAAAGACCCCATTTAACAGTAAGGGGTTGCCATTTGTGGGGAAAAAAAAGGAACACATGCATGCTTATCTCGTCCCCCTGTAGGTGGCAGAATGGGGCATCCAGAAACTGGGTTTAACCGAGTACGCCGGCCGCTGTGCAGTGACCTACAGTGGAGGCAACAGGCGCAAACTCTCCACAGCCATCGCTATGATTGGCTGCCCGGCGCTGGTGCTGCTGGTGAGTCAGCCAATGATGAGGAGCCCATTGTTTGGGGTTTTTGGGCTTTGTGCAGGGATTTATCAATGAAATGGTCTACAGATCCAGATGGGTTGCCATATGGGCTCAGTCAAGCCTGGCCTGTGATGTTTTATACATTGGCAGGCAGAGGCGCAGTTCAATTCAAATTGGCATAAATGTGAGATCTTTGCCATATGCTGATAGAGACGAGGATTTGATCTCGGTTTGTATGGAATTATGCGCTCAGAGAGTCAAGTCTTGTTTATTTGCGTGTTCAGGACGAACCCACGACGGGGATGGACCCTCACTCTCGACGCTTCCTGTGGAACGCCATAATGAGTGTGATACAAGACGGCAGGGCGGTGGTGCTGACATCACACAGGTTTGTCATGCAATAATGAAACAACTCCGCTGCAAACACACCTGCTGCTGCAGCTGACAAAACAAAGTTCACTCCTCTGCCAAGAATGTTAATGAAACTAGTTTTCCCATAAAGTTGAGTGAGATTATGACTCATTCCTCTTACACATGAGGCACCAGCAGTTAAAATAAAGATGGACTATTGTTTTTCTCGCCAGCATGGAGGAGTGCGAGGCCCTCTGCACTCGACTGGCCATCATGGTCAATGGGACCTTCAAGTGTTTGGGCACCATCCAGCATCTTAAATACAAGTGAGTGTTTTCGCAGACTTGTACAGTCCTAGGGTAGAATTGAAATGTTATATTTGTCAGACAAGCTGCACAACAAACAACGTCTGTATTAATACTGCAACATCAGGATACGAAGTTAATGCGAACCTAAATTCAGAAAGACTCCACAAGTTGTCTTTTATGCTCACAGGCACCGCCCACTCACACCACCATGTGACCATTTAGACAACAGATAAAGTCCTGGACATGTCGACCAATCATTCACAATATTTACTTCCTGAGTTGCAACCAAGCCATGGTACATACTTGATTCTGATTGGTCAAGACCCTGTGACAAGAATTTTGAATTTTTAAGAGCCAGGTATGCTAACAACAGATTGACCTGAGGACAGTGGTGTGGCACACTTGAAGTTAACAATGTCGCCTCTTTCTATTGACAAGGTGGCAAAAGTTTCTAATAGCATCTGCAAATAACATCGAAGAATACATGAACAGACGAGAAAGACGTCTATCAAACTGAAGAAAGCAGACTCAAAGAAACCACAACACATGATGGGCTTTTGCAGTGTTACTGGACTGGTTTAGTTATAAATTCTAATGTTTACACTTGGCTGTGAATGAAAATAGGAAGTTGAAGGTCCTGTGAAGAACTTTTGCTTTGTGTAAATTCTGGCGCCCCCCTGTGGACAAAGCAGTCTTTGCTTATCTTGCACTCTGTTTGCTTGACAAACAATCTAATCCTGACAACTTTTAGCAGTCAAACATCATTTATTCTGAGTATTTCATGTGAAAAGTGTAAAAAACAGGACTGTTCCTTTAGCCGCTTGGCTGACACCTACCCTCTTGTAGTAGTTTAAGGTATTTAAAATTACAATATTAAAATTATCAATCATGTTGCTGATGGTCTTGTTTAATTTTGGGTTATCATAAAAAGCCATCAATGTGAATTTTAATCCGTTTCATAGACGTCTAAAAACTCCCCACAGGAGTTTGAGTTATCCCTGTAGGATGTTCAAGACTCCCTTGATGTTTGGGTCTTAGCTCACCCTGTTGGGATGCTGTACTGTGAACCACCTGCTCACTATAACCAATTATATGAAGGCCAAACTAGCTGTCAACTATCCTTGGATTAGGGTGTTTCTTCTGTGTGCTAGCAGGATGAGAGAGAGGAGTAAGGAGGAAGTGTTTGATGAGACCTCGTGGTGAAAAAGTTGGAGTAACTTTGGTGTAAAACTCTTCGATATGTCAAACAACAAATATATGAGAACTGTGACTTCAATACAGTAATCAAGCACACTTCTTACTGTGGACTGTTTTTAACTCCTGTGTCCTTGCTCCAGATTCGGAGACGGCTACGTAGTAACCATGAAAATCAAGGCAGCTAAAGCGGGTTCACCCCCAGACCTGGAGCCTGTGGAGAGCTTCATGGAGAGCTGTTTCCCCGGGGCTGTTCAGAGGGAGAAGCACTACAACACACTGCAGTACGAGATCGCCACCTCCTCTCTAGCCAGGATATTTCAGCTGGTGGTGGCCAACAAAGAGAGGCTCAGCATCGAGGACTACTCTGTTTCCCAGACAACACTGGATCAGGTGTGTATGACAGATAATAAGGGGTCTAATTTTACATTTAATAACAGGATTTCTATAATCATGCGTGTTAAAATGTAAAGCTGGACCTTTGTAAATCTATGAAATCCATTAACATGTTTGCTTTTGTGATAAATTATGCATTGAATTATTATTTGAAAGCATTGTGACTCTAACTTACGTTCCCCTCTTTGTGTCAGTTTTTAGTTTTCCATCCCTCTTTAAACTCCACTGTTTGATTTCATTTTAAATACACAATCCTGACAACTCTAAACCTGGAAATTCTTATTTACAGTCCAGGAAACATCATCGTTCTTTTCTGTGAAAATTGTCGTAGTGATTTAGTGTGTTTCTGATTCTGTCCTTCAGGTGTTTGTCAACTTTGCCAAGCAACAAACAGGAGAGGACGAGGACCCGACGTTACACAAACGAACAGCATGCGGGAGAAAAGACATAAAGATCTCACCTGTGCAGAGAAAAACATAAAAACGTCCTCTTTGAATGTACAGAAACACAAACATAGAAGTGACGCTCTGCTGAGTAATATCATTCTCATTTTAAAAATCTAAATAGCCAAATTAGAGATTTCACTACAAAACACGCCTTGCCAGTTTCTACCAGAGTCAGAGGTAGAACGATTCTTTCCCAAAGCCACAGATTATCCATGTTTGATCAAGAACCATACACGCATGTCTGACACGCTTCTCCGACTCGAAGCCATGTTTGTTAATCACAGAAGTCGGTGCAAAACGACCCGACTCTTCATCTGAGAAAGATATTTCTGCTGAGGTATTGACTGGCCTGTGTAAATCTGTACATACTGTATGTGTAATGAATGCTTGAAGGGTTGGTGCAATTTTTTGAAGTGGGGTTGAATGTAGTTCTTATTACCAATATTACTAACACTGAACAAGGTCGCCATGGTGTTGCCTTAACAATTAAAGGGAAGCTGCGTACTTAGCATAACCCGCTGTCATATATTTGATGTTTTATGAAATGAAAAGACTTTGAATTCATGAAGGGCTGTGTCCACTGAGACAGTTTTTTTTTTAACCCTAAACCCAAATTTAGAGCATATTTCTTAACACTTCTCAGTTAGCCTGTTTTAAAATGCTCTGTATGACTTATATTTGCTCTTAGTTAACAACATTTTAGTGGCAAAATGTAAAACTAATTGATTGGACTGATGGCGTTGAACTAACTAGAGACTTGGGCTGTGTCTGAAATGAATCACTCAATCCCTAACCTCTAACACCCATATAGGGTTTCACTATATAGCTGACTATGTCATGAGCTCTATCACTGGAGGTTTCGGACACTACATGGCGCGCGGTTGTGACGTCACTGCTCAGACTGCCGCGTCTGAAGTTGCGGCTTTTGTTTTCACATCTCTTGAATTTTATGATGTTGTATAGATGGATTTGTTTTTCCAGGATGTTCGTGAAATTAAAAAAATTAAAAATAATAATTTATTTAAAAGGCCTTACATTTCGTGCCGAATATTGTTTGCTGTGTCATATTGTGCACGAGACTATATGACGCGGCAAACAATTGTTTTTCGAAAACTGTACGGATCACTTGCGAGTGAAGTGAAGATAAAAAACTTACGCTGTAAATGGTAAATAAAGCTCGGGTTCTGTCTCTTCATGCTCTCTTTGAATTGCCGGCGCTGGAGATGCAATGCATGACGGGATGCCCACCACCGTTGAGTGACTATCGGATGGTCACTACATTTCGCAATGCTCTATGGGAAATTTTGAGTCACCTGTATGGGGCACTGGAATTGATCACTCGGGTTTCGGACACCCCTTATAGCGCTAACACCCATATAGTCGCCTATATAGGGGTTAGGGATCGATTTCGGACACAGCCTTAATATTAATTGATATTAGGAGTCCCGCCCCTTTTGTCTGATTGGTTAGTGGTTAAGAAGGGACACTGACAAGCATGGCAGTGTAAGCAAAGTCAAAGACAAGTTACAAGAAACCGCAGAATTCTGAGTTTAAAGTCAGAAATCTGAAAAAACAAATGAGTCTGATAAAAAAAGTAGAAATTCTGGGAGAAGTCGTCAGAAACAGTGTTAGCAGACGCAGCTCCTTCGACCATAAATTCAGTCTTAAGTGTTTCTGTTGAAATTAAATTAAGGATGAAGTGACTCGTTTCTTGCGGCCCACCTGCTGGTCATTTTAAAGTACACGGCTTCAGTTTCCCTTTCAAACATCTGTTTTTACAAATACAAATAATGTCACCTGAAGAAATCTCTCATGAATGATTTTTAATGGTTATACTGTACGCCGATTTGTCAACATCACCTCGCCATCAGACATATAACTCATTTCCTTCAAACAGAAGGTGTGCCAATCGTCTTCTCCTCCAGCTGATATTCTGACTGTATAAGTCCCTCCAACAACCTCACTACAAAACCTCCAAACTAACCCTCAGAGTACATTAGAATCAGTATTTTTTTAAAGTTTACAGAAACATACGCACCTCAATTTCTGATTGTTTATTACCTACCATATTTACTGATGTGTCCGTTCCTTTAAGGCGTATACTGTTGTACATAAATGTTTTATGCCCCAGTGTCAGTACGAAATCTGAGGTGATACTTCTTAATAATGATTGTGGGGGAATAATCGAATCAATGTAGATAAAGAGGAATTATATTTTGTATGACCAAATTAAAACTGTGACACGCTTTATATTTCATGCTCTGCAGTGTGGCCTAGCTGATTTGTACTGCATCATCGCACCCAAATAAAACAGTGCAAGCTTTCTTAATCTAAATGTGAAGTGCTGTGTTTCTCATATCCTCCTCAATATTTCAGCCCTTCCCTGATGCTCTTTAAGCTACTGGAAGCTTCAGTGAGTTATCTAAAGTAGAGTTGACAGGCGACCTGCAGTAACTCCACTGACCTCCACCGAAAAGCTTAGAAAGCTGCTGCAGGTCACCGAAGCAGCTGAGAGGTAGCTTTGCATCGGAGCCAAGGCGACACTGTGCTGAGTGGCTTGTCGCAACCCGGATTTATCTCACACATAGTCCAATTACTGTTCTCCTGCCGCGAGTGGTGGAGTTGTTGCCTCAGGCCGCCCACAAGCCTGAATTTCATTGGCTACCTTCGAGAAAACAGTTCGAGGCTGCTAATGAATTCTCTTGTGTGGATCTCATGCTCCTCTCCCGCACATATGGTCATCTGGATGAAACTGATGAGCAGGAGTAGAGCTGCTGTTAGAGAGCGGACATGTCAGGCAGTAAAGGACTGTGAAATATGACTGTCAATGTACGACTGACATCTATAATTATGAACTAATTTTTAAATCTGTGCTATGTTACAAACAACAGTTGACTTAGTCGGATGAATGTGCAAAATAGGCTGATAAATAATGTCCTTTTTGCATGATATAAAAGAAGAAAGCGGAATAAACAGGAGTCATAATAAGTGAAATATATCAATGATGATTAGCAGCCTTTCTTACCATAATTAAAATTCATTGTATTTGGGGAACTATACCATTAATTGTATTGTATTTTTTACAAAAAGAAGCTTCAGAAATTGTTGCTTTTCAACTGTGCTGGTTTGAGCAAAAGCTCGATATTATCATCACAAAACAGGAGTGCACCCCTGCAAGTGAATTTTTCATGCAGAGCACAAGTGAAGCTGAATCTTAAAGTCAGACTGGAAATATCTTCCACATCCTTATTGCAATACACAGCTGAATATGAGAACTTTGCTAATGGTAGCTACGATATGACTTAGACTTTAATATTTCTTCCTGTGTCCACTTTTTCAGAGAGAAGACGAAGAGACTACAAAGCTCGGCATAGGTTGTAGCTCAGGTCTGCCAGTCGGATTAAACATGTGGAACAACATACTGTGAGAGGACATGACTGTAAAAGTTCTGGTTTTAAGTTACGTAAAGTGTTGAATTGATGTGGTCGAACCATAGACTGTATATAGAATGGACGCCGTCTGCCTCCTCACTGTGTACAGCCACTCTGAGAACAGCACCCTCTGGTGACGGGCTGCAGTATAGGTCATAAATCAGCTAATTATGGGTTAGCCTTGACGCGTGCTAAGCTTAAGCTAACTGCAGTTTAGTTTAGTGCTACTTTTGACAAACATTAGATTGATTTGCGTCCCCATAACTCTTGTCAGTCTTGGAAGTCTCTAGTCTTTACAATAGTGTTCTCCTCTTGTGAACTCCTTGTTTTGTTTGGTTTTATATTGATGTAAATTTAAGATTATGTTTTCGTGTTTGCCCCTGCTGCAATCAAATCTAATTCTCACAGTCACAGTTTCCTGCCGCTGCTATTGAACCTAAAAGACTAAATTACTACAAACTGGTTGAAAAATTTCTTCCACTAAACATGAGTTTTCCTCAATTGTTGAATTAAAAGTAGGTTCATCTTTGACTGACAGAAGAGTAAAACAGTGATCGACAGGTTTGCGATAGGTTTAGGTCACGACATACAACAATAAACAGCTGTTACTCTCATTAAACTCCACTTTCTCTCCTATCTACACCGCCATGACAAAATTACACTAATGGAAAAGCTTCAAAACAACTGTTGACTTCCGACTCTCTGCCATGATTGTTTTAATTTAAAACCACTTCAACACCTCCACCAACTTCATTCCTTGAAATGCGAAATTAATGAGGCTTAATGAAATGTCAACTTGATTCTATTTGGTTAAGTCTAAATAGCACCAGGAGCAACAAAAGGAGAGTGAAGTGAGTATGACCTTTGAATATTCAACGTGTAACAATAGTAATAATAATGAATTGACTGCTACAGCCTAATTTATTGAGGCGTATATGAATGTCAAACTGACAAAGTCACCATAATAAAGTAGTCACACTCTACACTGTCACACTAAAATCTAGATATTGTCCCAAATATGAATCATAAATGTGCTCTGTAATAGAAATATAATCCTTTTTTGCTGGTTTGCTATGAATCAAGCTCCGAAACACGGTTTTCAGATGGAAGATTTCATGGTCAGGCTCACCTGCTGCTGTGCACAGCGGGTGATGGATGCCGCAGAAAATCCCCAGTGATAAATCAGCCCAGGGAAGAAAAATAAGAAAGGTATTTTTTCTCTGTTATTACAGTGATAACATCGGGGCTCTCTGTCCACATGTTGCTTTCATAATCCAATTGTCAGGAATTCTTGCACTGAGTTTTTGCTTTTTTTTTCTTTGTTGTACAGGTGCCATATGGTAACCCTTCTGCTCGTCTTATCTCAGGGAATCAAATCTGAACACACCGACATGATACACATATTTTTAGACCAACACTGACTGAGGACATCTGTATCCTTTCAGAATAAAACTCTCAAAGGAAACTCTCTTTTAACCCAGAACTTGGCCATAATGCAAGTCTACTTTGTTAACTACAGTTTAGTAATCAACTGATGCCAATGACAGTAAAATTAGTTATTTTGCATGTTATTAGAATTAATATTTCTGTTATTCACTATACT